GATCCTTCTGCCTCAGCCTTCCGAGTAGCCGGAATTACAGGCGCGCGCTACCTCGCCCAGCTAATTTTTTGATTTATTGTAGAGATGAGGTCTCGCCTGCCCAGGCGGGTCTCGAACCCGTGGGCTCGGGCAGTCCACTCACCTCAGCCTCCCAAAGGCGCAGGATTAGAGGCTGAGCCACCGAGCCTGGCACTGGCTCTGTTCTTGAGGCCTGAGCTTGAACTCAGGTGTGGTGTGGCCTCTTAGGTCACACTGTCCTGTGCTTGTCCAGCCTTGGGTCAAACACAACCCTGCTTCATCTCCCGGACCGCTGATCCATTAATACTCTGCCTTCATCACCCCTTTCCAGGCCCAGAAGGCCAAGTGCACCTCTTGGTGTCCTCTTTGCAGGCCACTCTGCCCTTCCACTGCAGTGCCATTTTGGCTACAGCCCTGGACACAGTCACTGTTCCTTACCGCCTGCATTCCTCTCCAGTTTCCATGGCTCATCTGGCTGCTATGCTGAGCTTCTCTGGGAAAAAGGTATGAAGCTGTGTGTGGGGTTGGGTAAGCCCTGTTTATTTATTTATTTGAGTTGGAGTCTCATTCTGTCGCCCAGACTGGAGTGCAGTGGCACGCTCCCGGCCACCGCAGCCTCAACCTGCAGGGCTCTGGCGATCCTTCTGCCTCAGCCTTCCGAGTAGCCGGAACTACAGGCGTGCACTACCGTGCCCAGCTAATTTTTAATTATTTTAGAGAAGAGGTCTCGCCAAGTTGCCCAGGTGGGTCTTGAACCCGCAGGGTCAGGCAGTCTACTCACCTTGCCCTCCCAAAGCGCTGGGATTACAGGCTGAGCCACCGAGCCTGGTCTAATTTTTGATTTATTGTAGAGACAAGGTCTCGCCAAGTTGCCCAGGCGGCTCTCAAACCCACGGTTCAGGCAGTCCACTCGCCTCGGCCTCCCAAAGTGCTGGGATTACATACTGAACCACAGAGCCCGGCTAGCCCTGTTTATAATCTGGTCTGTAACCTGTCTCTTCCTTGTCTTTAGGTGGTGACAGCAGGAGCAACCATCCCCTTCCCCTTGGCTCCGGGCCAGTCCCTTCCTGATACACTGGTGCAGCTTAGAGGAGCCACCCCATGGACCCCGCTGTCTGCATGTGGGGACCCTTCTGGAACACGATGCTTTGCCCAGTCAGTGGTGCTGAGGGGTATAGACAGAGCTTGCCACACAAGGTGAGGACTATCGGTCCTTAGGAGCTCGTGTCAGATTTTTGTCTCATGTCCTTTTCTCCCTAATGTCTCTGGGATTCCAGTGATATTGTTTCCTCCCAACACTCTATTTTTTAAAAAAAGACTCTGAACATCCTGATTCAGCTGATGGCCTGAGAACATAAGAATTCTGAGTTTCTTATTTATGCTGCCACATGAGTAAGATTAACGGTGGTTTTGGCTTTGTTCTGGCAGTCAGCTCACCCCAGGGATACCTCTGCCTTCCCTCCTCCATGCATGCACCACTGGGAAGGAAGTGTTGGCCCAGTATTTACAACAGCAGCAGCCTCAAGTTGTCAGGTCAGTATGACGGCTTGCTCCTGCCTTTCTTGCAGACTTCAAACCTTCCTTGACTTCTTCTGTAACTACTATTCCCTGCCTCCACAGTTCCTCTCATCTGCTGCTGACTCCCTGCAGGGTGGATCCTCCTTACCCCCACCTCTTCTCCTCCAGCCTCAGTCAGCAGGGTATGGTTCTGGATGGTCCCCGCAAGGGAGGAGGTATGTAGGAGGGGAAGAAACCTCAGATCTCAAGTATGGAGGAGGTTTTACAATCTCCCTTCCTGGATTAAGAGTTTAAGGCCAGGTATAGTGTCTCATACCTGTAATCCCAGCCCTTAGGGAGGCCATGGTGGGGGATTGCTCAAGCCCAGGAGTTCAAGACTAGACTAGAAAACATAGCAAGACCTCATTTCTACCAAAAAAAAAACAAAAAACAAGCCGGGCTCGGTGGCTCAGCCTGTAATCCTGCGCCTTTGGGAGGCTGAGGTGAGTGGATTGCCTGAGCCCGCGGGTTCAAGACCCGCCTGGGTAGGCAAGACCTCATCTCTACAAAAAATTAGCCGGGTGTGGTAGCGCACGCCTGTAGTTCCAGCTACTTGGAAGGCTGAGGCGGAAGGATCACCCGGAGCCCAGCAGGCGAGGCTGCGGTGGCTGGGAGTGGCCACTGCACTCCAGTCTGGGCGACAGAATGAGACGCCAACTCAAAAAAAAAAAAAATTCAAAAAGCAAGCCAGGTATGGTGGTGCATGCCTATAGTCCCAGCTACTCGGGAGACTCAGGCAGGAGGATCGCCTGAGTGCTTTAAAAAGCGCTTAAAAAGTTGATAGTTGAACATTCCTTTATTCACCCTATGGCTCCCGAGAAAAATATTCTTTCTCTGGAACACTGGTATACTAAGAGGACAGTACACAAAATTTGTTTACAATCAAGTCTACCAAAGGCCCAGACTCCCCTTTCAGGATGGTAGAGTCCCAGGTAGAAGAACAATTCTTTCATAGGTCCCACTTTTTCTCCACCCAGCAGCCGTGGAGAGCATCCCAGTGTTTGGGGCTCTGTGCTCCTCTTCATCCTTGCACCGGACCCTGGGAGCCTTGGCTAAAGACATCACCAAACTGGACATGCGGCGCTGGGCCAGCTTCATGGATGCTGGCGTGGAACAGGATGACGTGGTGGAGCTGCTGCAGGAGCTAGGAAGCCTGGCCCAGTGCTACCAGGAGGGTGACAGCCTCACAGACTAAAGTTCCAAGGGGGTAAGGGGAAAGGGGAAAGGAGAGCTAGTTTGCAATAAAACCTGCTGGCTGCAGGAGCCCGTGTCTCTTCAGGCACAGAAGCTCGGTGTCTCGGGACTAGCTACACCAACAGACGCACTCACTTGGTAACACTGTGATCACATCACAGAACAATAAATATGCACCATCCGAGCAAGGAAAAACAGAGAAAGGAGCTGAACCCCACTCTCCCTTGATGCTATTACAACATAGACTTGTAGGGTCTTCACAAGAGACCTCAAACGATGCACAGGATGCAGAGCCCCTGCGCCCTCTCCAGCCTCACTTTGTCCCTGTCCTGAGCTCCTGCTCTCCAGCTCTGTAGACTGAGCTCAAGATTGTACAAGCAAAGTACAACCATCCTCTCCCCCAGCGTCAGGGTGCGTGTTGGGTTTGGTCCTCGGCAGGCAACATCCACATTTTCCCAGTCTCACTCATCCAGCTCCTCCTCAGACAGAAGGTCCCCATGGTCAGACAGCTGGTCTGTATTGCTGGTACTGGTTGCGTCATCCTCATCCTCAGAGCTGGCCTCACAGGCAGTGTGGAAGAGCTGCATGAGTTCTCGAAAACGGTGGGAAACCTACGAGAGGAAAAGGGTGGATTCACTGTTCCCTAATAACACTTGAGCACTTCCTAAGCACTATATGCCTGTTTGAAATATCTTCTTTTTTTTTTCTGAGTCAGTCTCACTCTGCCATCCAGGCTGCAGTGCGGTGGCATGCTCATGGCTACCACAATCAACCTGCTGGGCTCAGTCTATCCTTTCAAGTAGCTGAACTACAGGCATGTACCACCATGCCTGGCTGATTTTTTTATTTATTGTACAGACAAGGTCTTGTCTAGTTGCCCAGGCTGGTCTTGAGCCCCTTGGTTCAAGCAATTCTCTCACCTCCGCCTCCCAAATTGCTGGGATTACAGGTGTGAGCCCCTGCACCTGGCCTGAAATAGCTTTTATTTATTCCACAAAGCAGGGTTGAGAGAACTGTGTCTTATAAGGAAGCTCAAGAGGCTAGATATTTTACCCAAAGTCACACTTCTCCTAAAAACAAAACTCAAATGGAAACTTTGGGGCTTCTACCTCAAATCCAATGCCCTTTTTCTTCTAGAACTAGATGACCCTGACAAGCCAGGCCTTTCCTTATATTAGACCTTTACAATAACCAGTTAGTGTCCTGAACTGGAAAACTCATTCTTCTTTCAGCTGGCTACCATGTCCTCTTCGGCCAGATTCCCCTCCCCCACTTACCTCAGCAGGGGTCTTATTTCCCAGCTGTTGGGAGATGACACCGAAGGTCTGTGGCTGTGCTCCCTGCTCTTGGCACATGGTGAGAATCACGCGGTCAGCTTCCCTGTAACCCACATGTCATGGTTAGTCCTAAGGAGCCACTTGGATGTGGTCCACACTCCAACACATCGTCCATCCTCACCTACCTTGTCCACAGGACCACCTTTTCCCCGGTGGAGCTGACCTTGCTGTTGTTGGCACATACGGTTGCTTCTGTGGCCTTTGGCTGCTGCTCCCCTTTGCCCTGGATTCCACTGTCTTTAGCCAAACCCCCTCTAGGGGCTTTGGAAGAAGTCTCTGAGGTGTCAGTTCCTGATGAAGATTCACAGACGGGGGACATCCTTCCAGCTGTCTTCATCCCAGATCTGCCTGATAGCAGCCAGTTTTCTGTATCTGGCTTTCCAGACACACGTCTTCTCCCTACATCTCTGGTCTTTGAGGAAAGAGGACTCGAGAAGGAAGCAGGGAGTTCAGCAGTACCAGGCAATTTCTCAGTTTCTGAAGCATCCCAGACCAGCATTGAAGGCTCTGCCTCACCCACTGCCTTTTGGTCCTCCCTCTCCTGAAGTCTGGGGGATGCCTGGGGGCAGGAGAGAACCTCAGGCCCAGCCTGGTTTCTCCTCACAGTGTACAGTGCACTTCCCACTTTTGGTGGAAGCTGAGGAGTCTCCGGTGAGCAAGGTGGTGGGCCATCCAGGAGAAGCCGTTCTGTAAGAGTTACTTCTCTAGGGCAAAGTAAAGTGCTCCCTACTGGAAGTCCTGCTTAGGAGAAAAAGAAGGATCGAGGGTATGGACACCATCAAGACACCAAAAGACTAAAAGTTATCACAGGGTCACTGTGGTGAGCTACTGTGATAAAGTTCTAATTGAAAGAGTGGGATGTAATGTCATTATGCAAAGACATCAAGTCCTAATGCCAAGGTTAAGACAGGCTGGGTTGACTGATTACAGTAGATTTGTGGATAATGTGAAGGGCTTCAGGAATGGTAACACGAGAAGAGAAAGTTGAGTCATGTCAAATGTGCAGTTCTCTTAATTCTGCAAGAGGAGTGAGGTCAGAGAAAATAAGGGCTGAATCCTATTGGGCCATCAGTGAGAGAAACAGAATATCCATCCCTGAGAAAACTGTTGTTAATCCAGGCTCCTAAAGGTTCCCGCTTAAAGCATGAAAGGATAAGACAGAAACACAGGGACAAGGGTTGGCTGGGTGACAGGCAGAACACTCACCTGGAACAGGCATCTCGCCTTTTCTGGTGGTCCTCATAGTCCTGCTCTGGGTTGCCTCAATACGCTCCCGCTCCTCTGGTGCTTCTTCCATTACATCCTGGCCCTGCCTGGCTTCCTTAGCACTAGGCATGGGACTGGCCTCTCGGTGGGGGCTGTTGCCCACCAACTCGGGCTCCTTGCTTTTGTAGGATTTGCTGTCACAGACCTCGAGAGAGAGCATTCTGGGTCAAGGGTGTCCCAACCTGGACTCAAAGATCCTCTGCCTCAGCCTCCCAAGTACCTGGTACTACAGGTGCACACCAACATATTCAAGGATTTTAAATGGCCCAGGGTAAAGTACTGAATTCCACTACTACTTCTCTAATCAAGGACTGTATTTTTGGTGCCAACCAACTCCTACAGAGAATTTAGAATGACCTTCAGAGCCTGCTTTCCTCACAGTTGTCTTTTTTTTTTTTTTGAGTTGGAGTCTCTACTCTGGGTTGCCTCAATGCGCTCCCGCTCCTCTGGTGCTTCTTTTTGCTGGGCTCCAGCAATCCTTCCGGAGGATTTTTTTGTTTAAAAAAATCTTGAGCCAGGCTCGGTGGCTCAGCCTGTAATCCCGCGCCTTTGGGAGGCTGAGGTGAGTGAATTGCCTGAGCCCGCAGGTTCGAGACCCACCTGGGCAACTTGGCGAGACCTCATCTTTACAATAAATCAAAAAAATTTGCCGGGCGTGGTAGCATGCGCCTGTAGTTCCAGCTACTTGGAAGGCTGAGGTGGAAGGATTACCGGAGCCCAGCAGGTCGAGGCTGCAGTGGCCGGGAGTGAACACTGCACTCCAGTCTGGGCGACAGAGTGAGACTCCAACTCAAAAAAATAAAAAATAAAAAAAAATCTCGGAAGCCGTGCTTGGTGGCTCAGCCTATAATCCCGCACTTTGGAAGGCTGAGGTGAGTGAATTGCCTGAGCCCTCAGGTTCGAGACCCATATGGGCAACTTGGCGAGACTTCATCTCTACAATAAAGCAAAAAAATTAGCCGGGCGTGGTAGCGCACACCTGTATTTCCAGCTACTTGGAAGGCTGAGGCGGAAGGATTGCCGGAGCCCAGCAGGTCGAGGCTGCAGTGGCCAGGAGCATGCCACTGCCCTCCAGTCTGGGCGACAGAGTGAGACTCCAACTCAAAAAAAAAAAAAAAAATCTTGGAGGACGGGTACAGTGGGGCTCATGCCTATAATCCCAGCACTTTGGGTAGCCAAGGTGAGAGGACTGTCTGAGCCCACAGGTTCAAAACCAGCCTGGGCAACTTGGCAAGACTTCATTTCTATAATCAAAAAATTAGCCGGACATGGTGATGTGGGCCTGTAATTCCAGCTACTTGGAAAGCTGAGGCGGAGGATTGCTCGAGCCCAGCAGGTTGAGGCTGCGGTGGCCATAAGCATGCCACTGCACTCCAGCCTGGGCAACAGAGTGAAACTCCAACTGAAAAAAGTAAAAAAATCTTGCCAGGTGTAGTGGCTCATACCTATAACCCCAGCACTTTGGGAGGCTGAGGCAGGAAGATTTCATGAGGCCAGAAATTCGAGACTAGCCTAGGCAACATGGCAAGACCCTATCTGTGCAGAAAGTTTTGAAAAAGTTAGCTGAGCTAGGTAACATGCACCTGTAGTCCTAGCTACTTGAAGGCTGGGACAGGAGGATTGTTTCAGGTCAGGAGTTCAACATAACAGTGAGCTATGATTGTGCCACTGTACTCTAGTCTGGACAAGGAAAAAAAACTCTAAAAGGGAAATATTTAAACTGTTTTCCCCAGCAATTCTTTGTTTTTTGAGTTGGAGTCTCACTCCGATGCCCAGGCTGGAGTGAAGTGGCACACTCACGGCCACCCCAGCATCAACCTGCTGGGTTCAGGCAACCCTTCTGTCTCAGCCTTCCAAGTAGATGGAGCTACAGGTATGTGCTACCACGCCCGGCTAATTTTTTGATTTATTGTAGAGATGGGGTCTCGTCAAGATGCCTAGGCTGTTCTTGAACCCATGGGCTCAGGCAATCCCCTTGCCTTGGCCTCCCAAAGTGATGGGATTACAGGCATGAGCCATTGTGCCTGGTTAGCAATTCTTTTGTGTGTGTGTGTGTGTGTGTGTGTGTGTGTGTGTGAGAGAGAGAGAGTTGGAGTCTCACTCTATCACCCAGGTTGGAGTGCAGTGGCGTGCTCACGGCCACTGCAGCCTCAACCTGCTGGGTTCAGGCGATCCTTCTGCCTCAGCCTTCCTAAGTAGCTTCTGGAACTACAGGCACACATCACCATGCCAGGTTAATTTTCTTTTTTATTTACTGTAGAGATGAGGTCTCGCCTTGTCACAGGCTGGTCTCAAACCCGTTGGCTCAGGCAATCCTTTTGCCTCTGCCTCTGAAAGTGCTGGGATTATAGGTGTGAGCCACCATGCCTAGCTTCCCCTATAATTCTAAAAGTTTTTCTCATAGGTTACAAACCAAAATCCATCATATATTTCTAACTGATTCTATTTATTTTGCACACATACATATGTGTCCTGAATATTATTTGTATATATATAATCTTTTTAAGTCAAGAGTCTCACTCTGTTCCCCATTCTGGACTGAAGTGGCATGCTCACAGCCACTGCAGCCTCGAACTGCTGGGTGTAGGTGATCCTTCTGCCTGCCTTCCAAGTAGCTGGAACTACAAACGTGTATCACCCTGCCTGACTAATTTTTTAAAAATGTACTTATTATAGAGATAAGGTCTCACTAAGTTGCCCAAACTAGTTTCAAACCCCTGGGCTTAGGCAGTTCTCCTAAAGTGCTGGGATTACAGGCAGGAGGCACCACGCCCAGCCTCTATGTATAATATTTTTAGGAATTCAGTAAGGTACAAATATGCAGTAGTAAACAGTACCCCAAACAGTAAAGCACAGTGCTGCCCCAGACAGCTCTGGCACCCCTTGGCCCAGTACCCTTAGTGCCTCCTCACCTTGCTGCTGCAGTGGCTACAGTTTCTCCTTTTGTTCTTCTTCAGCTTGGAATCAGGACCTCCTTCGTGGCAGGAACAGGCACAGTCCTTGGCCCCATCTGGCCACTCAGTCTCCTAGGAGATACCTGAGCTTGATTAGCTGCCAAGTCTTTTTGGTGCCAAGAGAGGAAGCTACACCGTGAGCCAGATGAACTCCTCCTCCCCTCCCAATCCCTTCTTTTTCAGTCACGCTGCCTGGGGAAATCAATAGCCCAAACTAGATAAAGGCCTATTATGAGTCGCTGCAAAAATCCCTAAATGACCCAAAGAACGACATATCCCAGTCGCCCAGATCGTCTGCGAAATATTTAAGAGAAACACAATGTGAGGCAAAGTCACCGGAGAGCTCCGTCATGAGGTATGGTCTACTCACTCGTCTGTCTTGGTTTCTGTCTCCCCGTGCCTTGAGCCTTCCCTCTCTCCCAATCCCCTTGAGAGGGCTTTGTACACATGGAAGGCTCACTCAATGATACTCTCTGCTTAATAAGCCCAAGACATAGTACCATTACTATCCCAACTTATGAAGAAACCAAAACACAGAGAGGTTAAGCAAGTTGCCCAAGGTCATTCAACTAGTAGAAGCAGATTCTCTCCAGGAAAGAGGAAAAAACGTGTAGTAAAGAGAAACAAATTGTAAAAACAGCTTGAAGAGCAGTTGAGTACCAGCAGACTCTAAGTTCACAGCGTAGCACAGCCATTTAGTGATGAGAGACCCTGGCAATGGCCTCTCTCCACATATACTTCAGTTACCTTTTCTGTAAGATGCAAAAACAGCATCTTTCCATAGGGTTACTTTGAGAATTAAATAAGTTAATAATCCATGTAAAATATTTCCCAGCAATGCCTGATATTTTGTAATACAAAATAGGTATTAACTGCTACCATTATTAATATGGGGAATCTTGGTTCTGTTTCCGCACATGGACAAAAATGTAAACATTAAGGTTCCAAAGTAAGCTGAGTACAGTGGCTCACGCCTATAATCCCAGCACTATGGGAGGCTGAGGTTAGAGGACTGCCGAGCTAATGGGTACAAGACCAACTTGGGCAACTTGGTGAGACCTCATCCCTATAATAAATCAAAAAATTAGCTGGGAGTGGTGGTGTGTGCCTGTAGTTCCAGCTATTTGGAAGGCTGAGGCACAAGGATCACCTTAGCCCAGCAGGTTGAGGCTGCGGTGGCCATGAGCGTGTCACTGCACTCCAGCCTGAGCAACAGAGTAAGACTCCAACTCAAAAAAAAAAAAAAAAAAATCCAAGGTAAGAGAACTAGCTCTGAGTTAAGCAGAAAAGAGGAGACACAAATCTTCTCCTGAGGGAATCCCAGGGTTTCTTCAGCAACTGCACTGTCTTCCCAAGGACACTGCATGTCTACATCTGCCTGACCTGTGGCTCGTGCTCCATGACTGTCTCAGACCTAGAGCCTTTGGATTAGCATTCTGGACCATACCAGAGAAACTCTGGACAACCTCTGGACCGTCCCAGGGGAACATTCAGTAAAAAAAACTCGAGGCTTGATTCTTGAAAAAGGGATCATCCTCAACAACCTGGCATACCTTATCATGATTTTGGGCCCCTATCTCTTTTCTTCTTTTGTTCTTTGAAGCTGTGGGTATCTTGGGAGGTTCCTCTTCCTCTTCCACATCCGGCAGTGCCACTTCTTCAAAGCCATCAAACTGGGGAGGAGGTGCTGCCATTCAGCACAGACTCCAGCAGATATCCCTCCCACGTGTCGCCTCCCCTCCACAGCCCTACTGCAGTCTCAGGGCCTGTACCTCATACTCTTTCTCCTCGGTCCAATTAATCTCTTCAAAGTCACCCATCCGGCTAGCTGCTGGGCGCAGATGGTCAAAGAAGACAGAGAACTCATCCTGGAGGTGGTCGTGGCCCTTGAGGAGCTGCCACATCTGTGTCTTGAGCTGAGCAGTTACAGAGGGAAAGACGAAGTCTCTGGAGCCTCTCCCTACTACCCTTCCAACCACTCCCACACACTTCCACATCCTTCCCCTCATCAGCTGGGAGACACAGAGCTTGTCTGATAGCTCAGAATTCTTAAACTCTCCCTTCTTGCCTGCCTGGGAGAGGGGTACTAACACCAGGTTTGATTCCCAGTGATGACACTCTCCACTCTCTCCCTGCTGACCTCCAGCTAGGACACTGTACCCAGGCAGAGCGGGGAGGCAGGCCCTAGTCCCAAAACCTCCTTCCCTGAATGTCCCTTGCAGGGCACAGATAGATGGCATTCCTGA